CCCCTCTAGGACCTGAACTGGGCCCACCGGAACTGCTGGGCCCGGAACCTCATCATCAATATCAACCTGAGGCTCCGCCGCTGGTGCTGCTGCTCTGGGCTGGGCTCTGCCCCTGCCTCGACCTCTAGCACAGCCTCGGCCTCGCCCTCTGCCCCTCGTGGGAGCCGCTGCTGGGGCTCGGGCTGCTAATCGGTAGATGAGGAAGCGCGTGTTCTCGCCATCTGCGAAAGAACAGAGTAGAAATTCAATTAATATTGAGAAACCAAACCGCACGACAAGAAAGAACAAATGTGAAGTTTTCCTAACTCGGCAGCCTCTGGGGGATAAATACAGACGTCTCCGTACCGATCCCTCAGACTCTACTAAGCTTGTACGTGAATTGTGAGACCTATATAACCTAGAGCTCTGATACCAACTTGTCACGACCCGGATTTCCCACCCTCGGGAGTCGTGATGGCGCCTATTCGTAGAAGCTAGGCAAGCCACAAAATTTAGAAATCTTTAACCTTTTCATTTTTAACACTTCTAACTACTTGTAACAACAGGTGATCAACATTTAAACAGTAGCGGAAGATGAAATTAAGCGGGAGACTTAGATAAATATAATACCAAATTCGATACGAATAGCCAACATATGTCTCTACCCAGAAACCGGTGTCACAACATTCACGGACTGTCTATGATTACTACATACAAATTTCTGAAAGAAAGAAACTCAGTCTGTCTCGGATACAAGTGATAACAGATCATAATAGTAGATAGAAGAGACGCCGGGCATGCGGACGCCTGCAGGACTACCTCGGGATCTCTGTGGACTGAAGGCTGGCTCCCAAGCTACTACTGTTGCCCCAATACTGCTCCGGTATCTGCACAGGGTGCAGAGTGTAGCATCAGCACAACCGACCCCATGTGCTGGTAAGTGTCTGGCCTAACCCCGACGAGATAGTGACGAGGCTAGGACCAGACTCCAGATAAACCTGTGCAGTTTATATATACAGCGGAAAATAAACTAGAACAAATAATTTAAAGCTGGAAGGGGAAACATGCTTCGGGGAATAACAGATAAAGCAGAATCTCAATAGAATTATCAAGAAACCAAACAAAATTCAACTTCTATCAAGGATAAGGAAAACAAAGGCGATTTACACTTTCAGTTCACATCTCGTTGCAGGCGTGCAACCCGATCCCATTTCTCATATCTCGTGGTAGGCGTACCACCCGCTCCCATTTCATCATATCTCGTGGTAGGCGTACCACCCGATCCCATTTCATTATATCTCGTGGTAGGCGTACCACCCGATCCCATTTCATCATATCTCGTGGTAGGCGTACCACCCGATCCCATTTCATCATATCCCGTGGTAGGCATACCACGCGATCCCATTTACAAGCCAACACAAAATCACAAGGAATACCGACAAGGGAACAAAAGCAATATAATAACTTCCCGGCAAGGGAACAAAAGCAATGTAATAACTTCCCGGCAAGGGAGCAACAATATCAAGATAATCATCCCGGCAAGGGAGAATCAGCTATAACCAATCCTAACTCAACTCCTACTCAGCTCAATTAGTACCAACACTCAATCATAAATAAATCCACCAAAATAAACTAAATCTTTGCTCAATATCGAGAATCATCAATTAAAGCATCCGTAGTAACATTTAAGAACACAACATCTATCAATTCAAGACTCACGGTCATGCTCGACACCAACGTATAGATACTCGTCACCATGCCTATACGTCGTACTCAACAAGAAGCAATTAGCAAATAGGACACAACTCCTAATCCCTCAAGCTAAGGTTAGACCGGACACTTACCTCAAACTTCCACGGCCAACTCAATCCTCAAATACCGCCTTTCCTTTCGAATTTGGCTCCAACACAATCGTATCTATACATAATCGACTTAATAACATCAATAAATGCTAAACAATCCAATTCCAATGCTCAATTATAGCTTTTTAATCATTCTTCCCAAAAACTCAAAAATTGACCCCGGGCCCGCTTGGTCAAAACACAAGGTTCGGACCAAAACCCGATCACCCATTCACCCACGAGCCCGAATATATCATTTTTTTTTAAATCTGACCCCAAAACGAGGTCAAATTCCCAAATAACTAAAAAGCCCTAACTCTACCCAATTCCCCAATTTTCTACCATTAAAACCCTAGAATTATTGATAGAAGTTGATGAAAAACATTAGATAGTTGAAAGAAATTAGTTAATGAGTGCTTACTTGTGATTTGGGAAGAAAATCTCTTGAGAAAATCGCCCTAGTCCTTCTAATTTTTGTGAAAGTTTGAAAGAAAATCGCTGAAGTTATATTTTTAAAAAGACTCACTGGCCGACTTCCGCATCTGCGGTTCAGGGGTCGCATCTGCGCCACCGCAAGTGCGGAAAAGTGGGCGCTTCTGCGGGCTAGGCTCCGCTGGGGCCGCACCTGCGAGAAAAGGCCCGCTCCTGCGGAACCGCATCTGCGGAAAAGTGTCCGCATCTGCGACCCACTGTGCGCACCTGCGTGTCCGCATCTGCGGCCAAAGGACCGCAGGTGCGGTTACACCAGAACTGGTGCAACAGCAGTGTTTCTGCAACTTTTCTTAAGTCCAAAACTTCCCGAAACACATCCGAAACACACCCGAGCCCTCGGGGCTCCTAACCAAACACACGTACTAACTCAACAACATTATACAAACTCATCCGTGCGATCAAATCGCCAAAATAACTTCTCAAACAACGAATTAAACCTCAAAATCAAAGAATTTTTCTCAAACTTCATAAAGCATCAAATTTTCCATTTTAAGTCCGAATCACGTCAAACGGATTCCGTTTTTCACCAAATTTCACAGAATCATCTTAAATCATAGTAAGACCTGTACCGGGCGCCGGAACCAAAATACGGGCCCGATACCAACATGTTCTAATCAAATTTCATTTCAAAATCCTTTAAACAATTTCAGAAAACAATTTTCTTTAAAAATTCATTTCTCGGGCTTGGGACCTCGGAATTCGATTCCGGGCATACGCCCAAGTCCCATATTTTCCTATGGACCCTCCGGGACCGTCAAATCACGGGTCCGGGTCTGTTACCAAAAATGTTGACCGAAGTCAAATTAATTCATTTCATAGTCAAAATTTATCATTTTTCACAGATTTTCTCATTTAAGCTTTCCGGCTACACACCCGGACTGCGCACGCAAATCGAAGTGAAGATAAAAGAGGTTTTCGAGGCCTCGAAAATACAGAAGTAAATTTAAAAACACGTGATGGCCTTTTGGGTCCTCGTTAGCATTTCGAAAAGAATTGGAGGCTCAAAACGAATGGTCAAAGGAATTGATGATTCGTGTTTAGTCTCCGATCTTCGCCATCACATCTGCGTGCTGTAAATGGTACAATGCTTCATAAGTTATTGGCAATGTTTGAGTTTAAGCATATCCAAAACAAAAATGTACGGGTTTAAGCATTTCCAAAATCAAAACTAATTAATTTCAGTATGAAGCCCAGAGACTATAACTTTGAAGTTAGAGGAATCTAAATGGTACAGACATAAAGACAAGAAATGGGCAACACTCTTCTGACTATACATCGACTTAACTTTCTGAATCCTGCGATTGGTCAATGTCAATCAGACATGACAAGTGGAAGTTCTTTGAACATCATCATTGTACCATTTCCAACAAACCCCTTAGATATATTTTTTTCTGTTCCTAGAATTTTGTATTTTCCTAGGATGCCCCTGTCATCCAAAACTTGTGCATAGTAGATCAAGAAAGCTTCAAGATTAATAGGAGTAGACAACAAGGTATATATCTATGATAGGAAATTTAATGCACTCCCATCATCATTCTTCAGCCAAGCAAATCTCTTTCCTTCTGTCTTAAGTAAGATAGAAGAAAATTGATGTTTGCCAACCACCCATCAACAACTAATGAAATTGCGATACCGTCGAAGACTGTGGTGGAATGATTGAGACTCATCCATCTCTCACTAAATAATGTCTCGGATTCGAGTCATGAAAAGTTTTTTGGCATGGAGCATTTTAGTCCCTTATCAAACTTACTCGGCACAAATCTGGATTAGCGGCCATAGAATTTCGAATATCGAATAGTTAATTTTTTATTATTTAAAAAGGGCCATGTGGCGGCTACCAAAAGTCAGGAGATGGTGGTTCAAATCACATCAAAATGTTGGTTTACCGTCTCACTTCTACGTTTGTACTCTCCCTACTAGTATGTGTTAGAAAATGTTTCCATTGCGGTAGCATAAATAATTCTATTACACATCTTCCTTAGAGTGGAAAGGAAATAGATAACCTTCCTAACTCGAGCCCTCACGAGTTTGGCGTTCGTACTACAGGTTCCTTAGATTAGATATTCCACGTTACATTAGTCATTTTCAGTTTTGTGCATAATTATACCATTACTGTACCCTACAACAGAATAAAAAAGAGAGAATGATTAAGCATGAGCTCACATAAAGCCCTGTTTTACCAGAAAGAATAGTCATTTTGAGGTTGCCTATCACAACTTTAGCTAGCGGTTGGACAGGAATTTGAATGAAACTTAAGAAAATGAGTTTTTAAAGATGAGATGAGAAATGATTTTGGAAAGTTGAAATTGTTTTTGAACATACATTTTACTTGAAATGAATATGAAGTTTTGTGAGTAGAAAACTTCAAAAACTACTCTAGAGCTGTTTTTGAAAGTTGAAATTGTTTTTGAACATACATTTTACTTGAAAAGAATATGAAGTTTTGTGAGTAGAAAACTTCAAAAACTACTCTAAAGCTGTTTTTGAGATTTGAAGATTTTGTTTTCAACATCTGCCAAAAAGGGTTAAAATCTATAAACAAACAAATATTTAAAAACAAAATTTGAAAAAACTCTCAAATTTTATGGCCAAACGGGAGCTTAGTGTCTACTGTCTATAGTCGCAAAGCCATGAATCTAGTCTTAAAATTCTACAAGTATGATAATAACGGAAGTCCATGCATGCAGGTAAGACATAGCTGGTAAATATGCCACTCAAAAGAGGTCCCTAAGAACATGAAGTTAATATCTTAAGGAAAAAGCGAAAAATTAAATTAACAATATCTCTCAGATTCGCCAATGTACACGTAAAGAATGACCCATCCCCAAAAACACTCACTTTTTCCTCAAAAGCAGCCTAATAGAAGATGTCCGGATACACGTATAATGAAGGGAAGAAACACATGTCTAGAGCTATGCCCCTGTAGAATCATTTAATATTCGACTCAACTACAAAAATTGTGGATCTCTACCGGAGACCAGGACAGGCACGAGAGGAGGAAGAAGATAAATTGAAGGACGACACTCAATTCCGTGAGCCACATCATCTGTTTAAAGCTACAGGTCCTCATAGATGTATACCTTTACCAGCTGATTTTGGGCCTCATTCCAGTAGAGGGAATTTCTCTATTCGTTCTTCTCCAGAACTCGAGTCACAAGACCAAGAGCAACAGTTCTTCCTGATGCCCTGAGGGACACCCTTCCAAGAGCCTTACATTTAGAATGCTCTTCAACACAAATCATTCCTTGCAAGACCACCTAAACCATGACAAACAAATTAAAGTTAAGATCTCTTTTAAGTAGTAGGTATTATCCAACCTTTAACCTAGACACAAAGGCAGTTGCCTAGCACCTTTCGTGCACCCACTCCCACCCAGGATTATTTTCTTTTAAAATGGATAACATAAGCACATGAATAGACATAATAGTTGCTTTTGAGAGAAACCTCGATTATAGCATTCTGCTTTGCTAGAAGACATCGAGGTGATTTCTTGGTCTCCTTTCCAGTTTTTGGATCAAGCAATGACAAAATCCTCACAACTCTTGCAGCCTCCTTAGCATGGTGTACATGAAACTCCAACTGCACAGTTTCAAATATCCAGGGCTCTAGAGTTATTAACAATATGCTATGGAACTCTGTAAATTCTGAGGGTAAAATGATCTATTAAAAAGAGCTGCAACCTGAGAGCCAATCAAAATTGGAACGGCAATATCCAGGATGAGTATCTTCAGTTCCAAATGATTTGTAACAGCAATAGGATATTCAGGGTGGCACAGCACATCCCCTGCCATTACACAATTCGCGTCTATACCTTGTAGATTAACAGTGACATTGTCTCCAGCTTTTGTACTGTTACAAACCTGAGAATTATGTTCCAAAGAACGCACTGTTGCCACTTCTCTTGATGGCATAATTAGAACCTGAACCATGTTAACAGTTTATTATTAGAAGAATGACTATTATCCTCCTAAGAAATCAAAACAAGTTTGGCAAATAGATGATTGCACCATAGAAAAACACTGATCGCGAATTTCTTAATAACCATTAAACAGTTATGATTGCACCGTAACATTATTGTGATTTCGATCCCAACAATGACCTAACAGCATGTCCTAACAACACCATAACAACTTGAAAGCATAAGTATTTGTTACTTATCTTAGTCCCCTTTAACTCATATTACTCTGTTAACTTGAGCTCTAACATTCTAATCCATTGGTGTCTTACATTAGAGGGAGAAAAGAAGTGTCTTTGTGTTTCACCGTGAACCTATCTTATTATTGTCACTGGGCAGATGTCCCTTCCAAAGCAAGTGAGCAAGAGGAATCCCCATGCAAAGCCTAGCGCAAACAACAACCGCCTTGAACTCCCATCCCCCTATCCCAACACACCCTAAATAAAATTCAAGATACTGTAGAATAAAAAGTGAGAAAACAGCGTTATGCAGAGAAAAATGCAAGGTAGAAGCACCTTGACGGAAAACTAGGACACAAGTTTACAGGCCTAATGCCTCCCTCAGAACTTCCTTCTGAGAGCAGTGCTTGGGTCATGTTAATCTGAGTGATATTCAGAATGAGTGACATAATCTATAGGCACCAATACGGTTCCCTATTCAGTTATGACTCTAGCATCCCAAGTCTCCTAAAAGCATGTACTATATAATAAAGGAGAAGGATATCTCTTGCATTAGTGGTAATTGAGTACCTTATCTCCAGTTTGAAGTGCTCCTGTCTCCAACTTCCCACATACTGACACCTGTCCTTGTGATGGTGATTTAACAAGATCACATATCGGCATTAATAAAGGCTTTGAGTAATCTCTTTGGGGAGGTTGGAGAGAATCTATTGCATCCAAAAGGCAAGGACCTTGAAACCTGAAATTAACCTTCATTATCAGCTACACAAGACAATGGGGCTTTGCGAGCTATTTGTCTTGTGACACTAAATCACAGCAGAAATTTTGACACAGCAGCACAATCACCATTTTCTCTATTAGCTTGCAAATTTGGGTTGGCGATATTTGAGAAAAATTTGACTGTTTTAAATTCCAGTTCCACACTGTTTAACTCGTGTCTTTGTCATGTACCCTACTGTTTCCATTGTTTCGCCTCTTCCTACCTTTAACTTGTAAACAATGCAAATGAGATAAAGTTGAAAAGAATGAGTAACATTACTCCTAGTAGTGCTAGTAGTTGACCAGTAGACTAACCAGGACAACAATCGTGCATCAGAAGGACTTGTCACCAAATTTTGGTTTTCCATGGCACTCAGGGGAATCCACAATACTGACGAATCTTTAAACTTACAAGAACGAAGAAACGATCCTAGTTGATTCTTAATTGTATCAAAACGTTCTTTGGAGTATCCCACTGTATCCATTTTGTTAATAGCAATTATTATTTGATCCACCCCAAAGCTTTTGATAAGTAGTGCATGCTCCCTTGTCTGACCTCCAGTAACATCAATCCCCGCTTCAAATGCACCTATTGAAGCATCAATTACGAGAATTGCAGCATCTGCTTGTGTTGCACCTGATATCATATTTGGGACAAAGTCTCTGTGGCCTGGGGAATCAAGCAGTACAACACGGTAACTTTTTGTGTTAAAGTAGGCAACAGCCACTGTCATAGTTATTCCCCTCTCTCTTTCCTCAGCACTCTCATCCAATGCCCAGGCATAAGCAAAGGACCCTTTTCCCTGATTGGATAGACAGGAGATTTATCAATCAGCTAATCAAGATTTGACAATGTCTTACAAACCCGGATCAGAAGCTAAAAGAAGGATTACTTGCTGCTTGGCCTCTTTCTCATATTTGTGCATTTCCTTCTGAGAAATCTGCCCCAAAAGGTGTAATAATCTTCCTGATAATGTTGACTTCCCAGAATCAACATGGCCAACCTACATGTAAAAATTCCAGAGTAAAATCAGCGCATAATACATTGTAATGTTTGAAATCTAGTGAATCACATAAATGTTTGACTTACAATCGCAAGATTTAACTGGTCCAGTTTAACTTCTAATTGGTCAGCGCGTACAAGTTTCTGAGGTTTACTCTGTGATCTTGAAGTTGCAGTTCCGATCTCCGTAATGCAAGGTTTTAATGGTATAGACATATTGCTCATGTTGCTCGTGACACCATGATTTTCCCTAGTTTCTATAGAAGAACCTCTATCCTTCACATTATCACGTCTAACTTTTGCTGTCGATGCAGAAGAGCTAGCAAGCCCTTCGGCAACCAGTTCTTGTTTAACTTTAGTAGCTTTTTCTTTTTTACTTGATGGGGCATTTGACTGTAAGACCTGGTCAATAGTAGCTGTAAAAGGAGAGTAGTAATGTACAAGAAAGATGTCAAACTCCCAAAATAGAGAACTGGATAACAAAATATTAGAAATTAACACAACTGAGTCTTCATTATAAATTTAAAATAAGGACTTCATGAGGACCTAATCCAAGAAAATCAGGAAAGACGAAAAGACTTGTATCTTGGAAAGGAAAAACAAAAGCATATGTCCCCATTGAAGCACTCAATTAACAATTCAGAGATGACTCTAAATAAAATCTAAGATTTTTTCATCTTTGTTGCTCATCCAAGAGGCCACTAACCAGTAGTCACCTGGTCTCTCAAATAGCAGCGTAACCACATATTCCAGCACAGGCCCTTCCAAAGGGACAGTTTTATTAATCATAACACACTTACATCAGCAGTCAAAATTTGTTTCTTTGGTAGTAAAGTTCAAAAATCATAACACACTTGCATCAGCAGTCAAAATTTGTCTCTTTGGTAGTAAAATTTATCAACAAGGAATGTATCCAGTAGTAACAAATTGAACCCAAGGGTGTAGCCTATTAGTCAATGAAGTTGGTGGAGAACCATGAGGTCTCAGGTTCAATCCCACTATCCCACTGGAGAGACAAAAACACTAGGTTATTTCTTCCCAATTATCTAAGCCTTGGTGGACAAAGTTATTCGGTATATGTGTTGGTGGTAGGTAGTAGGTACCCGGTGGATTTAGTCAAGATGCGCATAAGCTAGCCCGGACACCACCGTTATAAAAAAAAATTAATCAATCAATATCTGATCCTACAATCAGAATATTTCCACCAGCCTTTCTGATTATGTGTTGTCGAAAGCATATCAAACGGCACCGAACTAATTAATGGCTAGGGGAATTTGAGCAATAGGGTTCTTTTGGTACAAGTAAATAACATATTGAGAAAAGGAGAAAACCCTCATACAGGAAGTATTCGTCAAAGGAAACTTATATACAAGAACTACTTTCTACAATTTCTGTCCAATCATCTAGACATGAGGGAGTGTCTGCAATAAGGTCTGTTGTTAGAGCATGTAGGTTACTTAATAGGTATTATTTATCATAACAAACTAAACCCTATAAGATCAAGCGTTCCAACCTGATCCTTGACAATGTTATGCATCTTGCAGCTGATTCACTTGGTTCCTTTTTCTATTTTCTGCCAGCAACAACAGATTATAACCCCATCTCGAAACCACAATGAGATGAAGTAACAAGATTGTTATGGACGAGAAAGTAAGAAATTTCTTGGAACCTGGAGTGCACAGCAGTTTGATGTTAAGAGTGTCACCTGGAGCAACATTAAACGGGGCATGTTATCTTACCAACATTTTAGGCAAAAACCAGTGCTTTTTAACAATGCCAGTAACCAGCCTCAAAATAATTTGAGTTACTGGTCAGTGCATTTCACAGTAGAACCAGAAAGTTTTGTGCCCTCATACAAAATTTTAAATTCACAAAGAGCAATGCCAAATACGATCTCCGAATTTTAATCTCTCTACATCTTTGAAAGTCCTTAAACTTAGACCCACCATTGAGTCGTTAACTATATCCAAGGGTCCAACTTCATCACTTACAATGCCGAGAATGGATGAAGAAACAGATAATTAACTCATTAAAGGTATTGATATTTTATATCTTTCAGTTTCAGCTGCAGTTGCTAAGGTTGAATGTAACCTTCACTCTAGCAATAGATTGCCAACACCAGCAATGACTCTCAACCAAGACTGTTCATTCTCTCTTTCCTTTCCTCCTTTCTTCCCAGCATTAACGGCAAAAGTGCAACTGTGACTTCCAGGGAGCTTTGACTTATCAGTGACTCAGTTCTCAAGCTCAGGTGTCCTTTTCTGATACTTAAATGTTAGTGTGAATCTCTGGCTCTTCCACTTTCAGATTCCAAATTTCCAATTCTTCTGTTACGGAATACAATTGCAAGTTGTTATTTTCCACCTTGCCATTGATTATATACCGAGACTGTTGATGTATTCTTGTGATGAACTATAATGGGTTAATTCACATCTTGATGGTCTGTAATAGTCGTGTCTTGACTCTTTTTAATGGACATCATCCCTATTGGGTTTATGCCATGTCTTCAATTGACTGTTTGCAATCGTTCCATTGAGTAGACACTGACATCATTTATGGATTGACTGTTATGTTCTTTTATTGTAAATTTCTAGATGTCTATGCTTGTACCTGGAGCTTGGGCCCCTGGATGACTAAGTTTTTTATGCAATGTTTTACTTCCAGTTAAATAGAGAACTTTTTACAAATACAAAAAAGATTTTACAAATTTTTCTTTCAATTCCAGAAGCACTCTTCCTAACTAATGTGAGGACCACCTTTACAAAAACATATACTGCTTTATGAAGTAAAAGGAACTTTTCATCCTCGGTGAAAAAATCACGAAAATAGTATCAGAACCGCGAAGAAAGTACTATTAGCCTATAGTGGCAACAACATCCACCTGAAACTTAAGGGTTCTGAACCATAATTAGCATATCTGAGTTAGAAAATTAGTTAAGAGATATTACCCATTGCGTGACAGCAAAGATGGCGAAATATAGGAATATTGAAAGAAAGACCATAATGCAGCGAACCCCAATTTTCAGGTAAAAGGAAATAAAAGACATGAAAACTTTATTTCTATAGAGTGGCATCCTGTGCTTGATCATGTGAGGGCATCGTATCAACCTGGCAATAATTTTTGAGAGCTAAAAGCTCCATGTCAATTATGATAATGTCCACATATATATACAAGCTCATGGAAGTTACAGCAGTCAACAGCAGTCCTCTGTTTTTACAAAAATTCTGTGCATCAAAATGACAGCATTTGTTGTTTCCAATGGAGTAGTGATGCAAATAGACATTTGGACTTTATAGGCACCCCAGAATCTTTGCAAATGCCACCAAATGCAGGAATAATCTACTATATGAAAAAGCAAGCAAAATACATGAAGAACTATGTAGAATTGTTTAAACTGAGGTATCATTGTCCAAGGATGAAGCAAGATATTTGTGGTAAGGACAATCAAGCAAATAAAACAGAATGGAGAACGCCCGCAACCAAGTTTAAAAACACATTACTATCTATTGAGGGGATGAGAATAAGCATGAAATAACATCAAGGAGAATAATAATGTAACACAAATATTATCTATAAAAAACGTTCTCACTCCCCAGCACCAAAAGGAAACTTTCTTCATGTATTACAGTATGTAATGTATAAACCACAAGCAATATGTGCTAAAGAGTAGTCACAAAATTCACATACATACACATACAAAGCTCTGCAAACATATTGCCAGTTGCTAACCTGCACTAGCTTTGCCACCGCGACAACCTTTGATCAATGGGTTACGAAGGACCCCACAAATATCACATACATTCATGGTATCTTCATTATCAAATGTGCAAATGGGGCAACGCCACACCCCAGCCTTAACCGGTTCTTGTTTTGTATTTCCGCAAACATCACACACATTCATAGTATCTTTGTTATCAAATGTGCAAATGGGACAACGCCAGATGCCAGCCTTAACCAATTCCTGTTTTGTATTTGTTCCTGGTACCTTGCCTGTAGCCAAATGTAAACAAGATATTGAGTTCTTAGAATTAAGCTTTTAGTATATAAGGGAGAAAAAACGACTTCAAAGACCAATAGTCATGGTAAAGTAACCATAAACATGCTAGCTTGCAAAAATCAAATGTAAATCAAAAAGCAAAGCACAATCACAGCAGTGATTAAATGAAATACAGTAGCGAAAAAGTCATAAAAAAAAAAGAGGCAGTAACAACAACAAGATAATAAGATATGGGGTTGGCCTGGTGGCAATAGACTTGAGCCTTGGGGTTTGCTCCCTTTCAAGGTCTCAAGTTCGAAACCCACTGGGTGCAAACAATTTCTGAGGGCCATCGGACTGGGTAAAACCTGAATTAACCGTGGTGCACTTGCGGGAAACTCCTTGCCGAGGGCCTGTGCACCCCCGGGATTAGTCGGGGCTCTTAGAGACTTGGACACCCGGTGCAAATCAAAAAAAAAAAAAAGATATCTGGAGCAAGAGAAACAACAGGTAGTAATAGTTCTACATAAAAGATGACTACGGAGAAAAGTACCTCCGATTAACATGAAGTGATAATCCTAAAATATGATTAACATTTTCTTTCTTCTTTTTTT